CTTTCTTTGATAAGAATCACTCACTTTCCTGACTAACTACATCGGTGTTTTGAACGTAATTAACCAGGAACTTTGAGCTTGGGTAGCCTAGCTGTTATGTAACAAGTCGTAATGTTCCCGCACAGCTCTGAACCGATATTTTGCCCGCAGTAACGCGTAGTAAACTGTAGCATTATCAATAACTACTTGTTTCCCATGCTATCTGAGTTATTATTGGTTACAAACAAATAAATTGTTAGCTGTCAATATCTGTCAGTTACCGGAGGAGGCTGAGCATTGTTTCGCACATGTTATCAAGCCCCGCGAATCAGAGCTCAGCCATGTCCAATAATTATATATGAGACAGCATACAATTGAGAGAAATGTCAATTTGTTGTCAAGCTTGACAAGGAATGAACAAAACTCGCAAGTGAACAGGAACAACAGAATTGAAACGCAACACTGGTTCAGCGGTTTCATGGTTTCGAAGTGCCTTGATGCATATATTTATAACATCCAGCAGTAATATAAACTTGCGGGAAAATCATGCACGTGATTACAACAAACACTTCAACTGTGATGTTGCAAAACCTATAATTATTTTGCTGTGCGATTTTGCAATCAGCTGACGAGAATACTTGTTAAAATTTCCGCCACGATGCCTTATATATCTACAGCAACACTAACCAGCATAACTACTTTAAACAAGAAAATCCGGTTTTTTATTTTGTTGTTGCTTGGTTGATCAGTGTTGGCGAGGCTAGGATTTATAACCTCTCTGGATGCTTGGAATAGTTTCATGCTACGTTAAAGGAAGCTACACAGACAGCGCATCTTGGAAAAGTTGGCCACTTTGTTCAAGTCTGTAACCCGTGTTTTTTCGTATTCTCGGTATTAGACCGGAAATAGCTTGCAGCTGAGGTTAATGCGAGGAGTCTTTTCAAATGCAAATAAATGACCTTGATCTCTTTCTAATAATATTCCCCTACAGGAGCCTCCATTGCAAGCTAGTTCCAGTCCGGTACAGAGCATACGAACATTGGCCTAATAATCTTCCTTGACTCATCCTCGCGTATATTCAGTTTAATATTACTTTTTTCGTGGCTAGTACTAATACCTTGGTAAATTATCATTATCCTAATGTCTCTTCAATGAGGAAGTAATTTTGTAATCGCCAAATTAAAGAAAA